AGAAAGTATTGGAGTAAATGTTTATGACCTTTAGCTAGGCAAAGATGTCAAAAGTATACCATCCAAAGCACAAGTCACAAAAGAAAAATATGGTAAATTGGACCTCACAAAATGGAAAACGTTTGCTTGAAAGAGTATCATCAGGAAAATTCTAAGCCAACCCATAAAATGGGAGAAAATACTGTATCTGAGAATGTAATTATATCTAAAATGTGTATTGAGCTCGTACAACTTAGGAAGTATGCACAGAGTCTGAATAGACATTTCTCCAAAGAAGTGTAATTGGCCAATAAGCACTAGGAAAGATGCTTGGCATCAGTAGCCATCAAAGAAGCACCCATTGAAACCACACTGAAATTCTACTTTATACCTAGCAATCACTGGAGTTCTGATGTGGTGCTGCAGAATAAACACTGTACCGCAAGGTCAGCGGTTCAAACTCACTCCTTGGAAAGTCTATACAGGGTCTCTATGAGTCATGAACGAACTTGATGACATTTCACAGTAACAACAATCACTATAATATGGGGAAAAGACGAGTCTTTCTACTCCCCAAAAGATTTGTTGTTGTTAAGTGCTGTCGAGTTGATTTCAACCTATAGCTACGCCATATAGATTTTCCAAGGGGCAGCTGGTGAGCGTGAACCATCCACCTTGCAGTCTGACACATTAGCTCACAGCACTACACCAGGACTCCTCAAAAAGATTTACAGCCATGCGGATTGTACACAGGATCGCTATGAGTCACATGTGACTTGATGGCACTTAACAGCAACAACAACACTCACTCTAATGGCGCACAATGGCTCCATACAATAAGCATTGGACTGCTAACCACAAGGTCTGTGGTTTAAGCTCACCAGCAGCTCCTTGGGAAAAAGATGAGGCTTTCTGCTCCCTTGAAGATTTAAAGCCTTGGAAACCCTATGTTGTTGTGAAGTGCCGTCAAGTCGGTTCCGACCCATAATGACCCTGTCTAGGGTTTCCAAGGAGCAGCTGGTAAGCTTGAACTGCAGACCTTGCAGTTCAAACGGCTTTGTAGTCTGGGTCATTAACCCACAGCACCACCCAGGGTTGCTATGAGTGGGAGCTGACTTGATGGTACTTAACAACAACAATCGCTGTAATAGAGGCCTGGTGTGGTGCTATAGAATAAACACTAGACTGCGAACCACAAGCTCTGTGGTAAACCCAGCAGCTGTTCCTTGGAAATGCCATACAGGGTTATTATGAATCAGAACCGACTCGATAGCACTTAACATCAGCAATAATTGCTATAATGATGGTGCCCAGGAGCTCTGGTAGCGTAGTGGTTACAAGTCGGGCTGCTAATCTCAAGGTCAGCAGTTCGAAACTACTAGCTGTTCTGCAGGAGAAAGATGAGACATTCTGCTCCTGTAAAGATTTACAGCCTCGGACACCCTGTACAGGGTTGCTATGGGTCAGAACCGACTTCACAGCACATAACCACCATCACCACCACCACCAAGTAGTTAGCGTAGTGGGTTATGTATTGGGCTACCAACCTCAAGGTCATCAGTTCAAATCTACTAGCCACACCCACAAGAGAAAGATGAGGCTTTCTGCTCCCATAAACATTTACAGCCTCGGACATCCTGTACAGGGCTGCTATGAATTGGAACTGACTCGGCAGCACACAACAACAAAAGAGCTGGAGAGGAATCCTGGTGTGGCACTGTAGGATGAATACTGGACTGCTAAATGCAAGGTCAGTGGTTCAAACCCACCAAACTGCTCTTACGAAACCCTATACAGTGTTGCTGTGAATCATTTAACGACAACAAGGAGGCTGGGGCGAGTGGGAGGAAATGGAGAGTGGCTGCTATTGGATACAGGATTTCTTTGTTACCGTTAAGTGCTATAGTGTCAGTTCGGACTCACAGCAACCCTGCATAAGGTTTCCAAGGAGCACCTAGTAGGTTTGAACCACCAATCTTGTGGTTAGCAGTCCTGTTCTTATTCTACAGTGCCCCACCAGGACTCTTTTAGGGTGATGAGAATGTTCTAAAACTGATTGTGGTTATACAACTCTGAATATTCTAAAAAAATCACTGACTTGTATACTTTAAATGGTAGAATTGTCTTCTTGATGTATCTCAAAGCTCTTACTTTAAAAAAGATGCATAATTTAGGGGTCTGACTGGTGCTTTGGTGGTGGATACGTAGGAAGTTGCTGGTCTCTTTGAATCCCCAGGTCCTGTTTTGTTCTGTCTGGCCCTAACTCTTCAGGTTGCTCCAGTATCAAGTCCAAGAACAAAGTTTACTTTTGCCAGTTGCTGCAGCAGTTCGTCTTCTAAGATGAGATTTGAATTTCCCCTTTGGTTAAAGTTGCTTTGGAGCCTGTTCTTTAGGATTTAGGGAGGCTGTTGAGCCCAGAATAGATAAACTGGTCCTATTAACTGACACAGAGAATGAAGAGCATCTAAAAGCTTCCATGGTGGCCAGGCACATTTCATGCTGTGTTAGAGTTTCAGGCATGGAACCTGTCAGTTCAGCTCTTGTACTGTCCCACCTGTACTGTGCCTTTGAGAGCAAAGACACTTATCTCATTCTTCTACTAGGAATCTATATAGTGGTTACTTGCTGCAACAAGCCACCTAAGCCAGGCAATTGGGGCTCTTCATTTTTCATGACATTAGTTTTGTGTGGTAGCAAGTATAAATAACTTTGGAATAAAATGGGATTAAATCTCACTTCTACTTTGTACTAGTTGGGTTACCTTGACCAATTATGTAATCTTTATAAGCCAGAGTTTGTTCATCATGAAGGCAGGGATAATGCTACCTGCTTTAAGGGGAAGTGTGTGAAAGTTAAAAGAGCTATCTATGTGGAGAATTTAGCACTTCACAGATGTGCAGTGTTAGATTACTTCTCTCTTTCTCTTACTGTGCTTGCTCCTCTTGTCTCAGCAATGAACCATTTGGTACAGGACTGACTTAGGACCTACCCTCCTTTTGGTAAGTACCCTACTGCGTTTGCCTGCGCCACATATTCTGGGTCTGTCTGCTCCCATCTTCATCATATCTTTGCCTTTGTTAGTAGACAAATGCAATAGTAATTTTTCCTTTTCATGTTGTTGCTAGGTGATGTGGACTCAGATCTGGTTGATAGTGCCCCTGTGTACAACAGATGCTGCCTGATCCTGTACTATTCCTCACAGCTGTTGCTATTCTTGAGCCAATTGTTCAACCTCTGTGTCTGTCCATCTCACTGAGCCTCTTCCTCTTTTTCACTGACTCTCTACCAAGTATGATGTTCTACAGGGATTGGTCCCTCCCAGTAGCATGTCTAAAGTACATGAGATGAAGTCTTATCTTCTCATTTCTAAGAAGCATTCTGGCTGTACTTCTTCCAAGACAGACTTGTTCTTTCTTCTGGCAGCTCATGGTATATTTAATACTTTTCACCAACATCATAATTCAAAGCCATCAGTTCTTCCTTGGTGTTCCTTATTCTTTGTCCAGCTTTCACATGCATAGGAGGCAGTTGAAAATACCATGGCTTGGGTCCTCAAAGTGACGACATCTTTGCTCTTAACACTTTAAAGAGGTTTTTGCAGCAAATTTGTCTAATGTAATATGCCATTAGATTTCTTGACTGCTATTCTATGGACATTGATTCAAGTAAAATTAAAACCTTCACAACTTCATGGATTTTTCTCTGTTTATCATGATAATTGCTTATTGATCCAGTTGTGAGGATTTTTGTTCTCTTTATGTGGACATGTAATTCCTGCTGAAGGTTGAAGTCTTTGATCATCATCAGGAAATGCTTCAAGTCCTATTCACTGAGTTTTTTGAAGACCCTGTCAATTTTTGCCTAGCACTTAAGCTTTTACTGCTTTGTAATATGTTTTTCAAGGAGCCCTGGTAGCATAGTGGATTATGAGCTGGGCTGCTGACTTTGAGGTCAGCAGTTCAAATCTACCAGTAGCTCAGTAAAGATTTACAGGTGCAAAAACCCTGTACAGGGTCATTTTGAGTGAGAACCAATACGACAGCACACAACCACCACCACCATCAATGTGTTTTGCAGTTTGTCATTGATTCCTTTTTCCTTTCTTCTAAAGTACAAGCTTCATTTTTAGCAGATACTTTATCTTTGTTTTTGTTTATATTTTTAATCTTACAAGTGCTTAGCTTAATGCTAGACATGCAGCACACTCAGAGGAAAGAGGGGTTTAGGGGTAGTTGAAATGCTTTGCCAGGCACAGTCTTCTATGCAAGGACTCCCCTGTTGGCCCTGCTTTCCAAACCCTGTGTGGTGTTGTGGTGTGGTGTGGATTGAAGAAGTAAAGGACTTCATTTTACTTCTGTCCTAGCTTTGCTTCCCATCCTACGATGCTGGCCTATGGAACAGGACAGTTGTTCATTGGTTTTCTGTGTTGGGAATGTTTAATGAGCATGTCTTCGTGGTAGTTGGTTCTTCTTTTTCAAATTTGACCTTTTAACCCCAGTAAAATTAGAGACTTTTTCCCCCCAATGAAATTAGTCATATGTTCCTGAGGTCTTCCTGTGTGTGTTGAATTCAATATATTGATGTTTCTAGGGATAACCTGAAGTCTGTATTCATTGAACAAATATGTAAATGCCTGCTCTGTGTCAGGAAGCACCCTAAATGTTGGAGAATGGAGCAATTATATGAAAACCTTACTTTATAGGTAAGTTTAGTTAAGGAGAAAATATGTTAACAATTAAAAGGACATCACAAAAGGAACCTAATAAGTCTGCCTTAGAAAGATGAAGGAAGTTTTCAAAGGCAATGTGCATTTTGAGCCATATCCTAATTGTTTAACATGGTTAACATGACTCTGTCCTGTAAAGACCAGACGTGAGAGTTATGTTGTTTGCTGTGTCCCTTTGCTAGATCTTCTGTTAAATGAATCAAGCTAATCCTTGTAACCTCTCAGATCATTAGTATGGAGAATGTAAGCTAATAATTTTTGGAAAGTATACTGTTGTTTCTTTTATGTTGTTTAGGTGACTGCTTGGAAAACATTCTGGACGGTGTACCAACATCTGATGAAATTAGTGGATAAGCAAATCAGCCATGTCTTATACTCTCGGAGTTGGTGGTGACCCTGCCCTGCTTGCCCAGCGCATCTCTTCCAACATCCAGAAGATCACACAATGTTGTGAGTTGATTCCTAAACTGACTTCATTGACTTGTATTCAGATCTTACCTGAACTTAGTGGAAGTGTCCATATGGAATAATGATGCCAGGCACATGGATAAAATACAGAGAGAAAAGGACAGATGCTCATATTTGCTGTAAAGCTGTATGGTTCTACATGAGACTCGTAAGACTTGCTGACTAAATCCCATAGGTTTGGAACTGCAGCACACCTCCAAGACTTTAAAGGAACTGGTTTCTAAAGACGATACGGTTTAGGTTAATTTTGTAATGGGCAAATACATGGCACATTATTAAAAAGCATGGAAACATTTTAGGGGAGGTACATCATAGCGTAGTGGTTACGAATCGGGCTGCGAACCTTAAGGTCAGCGGTTCAAAACTACCAGCTGCTCCGCGGGAGAAAGATGAGGCTTTCTACTCCCGTAAAGATTTACACCCTCGGAAACCCTATACAGGGTCGCTATGGGTCGGAACCAACTCGATGGCACATAACAACAACAACAACAACAACATCTTAACTATGACTGCAGACATTATAGAAGATAACTACCTATATTTACCACCTGTTACATTTGTTATATCTGTCTGAAACAAAGTAATGGTAGAATGATCCTATGTGACATTTCTTATTTTCTTAGGAAATATTACTCTTTGCAATATATATATATACATATATATATATATACATATATGAAAATGAAAAGAAAGATAAAAAATCAGTGTAGCAAATATTAACCTTTAATTTTTTTAAGCTTTGGTGTCCTTGTAGGATAAGCACAGGACTGCTAACTGAAAGGTCAACAGTTCAAACCCACCAGCTGCTCCTTGTTTCCCATAATGATTTATAGCCTTGGAAACCCTAATCAGGGTCACTGTGATCTGGAATCCACTTGTTAACAGTGGGTTTGGTGTTTGGTTTCATTACAGCTAATCATATGCCATGGAGTATTCTAGTCAGTCTTCTCTCAGTGTTTGGTCCTTTGGGCATTGCCTGGGCTCTTTCAGAGTAAATTAATTTAGTCCAGGTATGGCACTGTGGCTAATGCGTCCGACTGCAAAGTCGTTTGAACTGCAAGGTCCATGATTCAAGCTTACCATCTACTCCTTGGAAACCCTATACAGGGTCGCTATGGGTTGGAATTGACTTGACAGCACTTAACAACAACTTCCTTATGGTTGCTTTCTTTCTAAAAATGTGTGAACACACTGGTGAAATACAGTTTTAAATGGTTATACTATGCATGAGGGCACTTCACAAAGTTAGTGGAAGGTGCACATTAATTGTATAACTATACTGTAATCATTAACTTCTCAACAGTTCTTACTTTGCCTGGATGAATTAAATGCGATGTCAGTGATTTATGGAGGGAAAAGTAGTCCCATTAGATAACAGATAATTCTAAAAAGAAATCACTGTGTACAGCTGTGTAAATTAGCCTTATTTTGATTTGTGGCCATTCTTGTTTTCTTTGGCTATGGATCAAGGATGTGAATAGCATGGGGGTCTTCTGTTACCCACAGTTGGAACTGTGGGGATGGTTCCTTATCAAGGATTGTTTTCTTGTGTCCGAGGAAACCACCTTAACAGTGATTTCAGATCTGTTCTAGTGAGAACAGCCTTCTTCTTTGCTACTCCTTGCTACTGGTTAGAAATGTTTCTGGTCTACCTTGGGTGATTTTTTTTTTTTTTTTCTTCCTATATCTGGTGTTACAAAGACCTGGAGTTAGAAAACCAAAAGTGAAGAACATGCTCAGCATATCTCAAGCTGAGGGAACTGAAATAAAAAAGCAGATATGTCTAATGCAATATAGTGTTGGATTGCTTGACTGCTGCTTTTATGAGTGTGTTGATTGTGGATCCAAGCAAAATGAAGTCTCACAACTTCAGCCTTTTCTCCATATATCATGATGTTATTTATGATCCAGTCGTTAGGAATTTTGTTTTCTTTACATTGAGGTGTGATCCATAGTGAAGGCTGTAGTCTTTGATCTTCATAAATGAATATTTTACATTCCCTTAGCTTACAGCAAACAAGGTTGTATTTTCTGCATATTGCAAGTTGTGAATGACTCTTCCTTCGGTCCTGATGACATATTCTTCTTCATATTTTCCAGCCTCTGATGTTTTTCTTAGCATACAGTCTGAATAAGTATGGTGAAAGGATACAACCCTGATGCACACACCTTTCCTGATTTTAAACCTTTGTTCTGTTCAAATGATTGCTTCGTGGTCTATGTACAAGTTCCTGATAAGCACAATTAAATGTTATGGAATACTCATTCTTTGCAATGTTACCCATAACTTGTCATGATCCACTCAGTCAAAAGCCTTTGTGTAGTAAATAAAACACAACTGAACATCTTTCTGGTGTTCTCTGCTTTCATCCAAGATCCATCTGATGTCATGTCAGCAGTTGTATCCCTAGTCACACGTCCTCTTCTGATTCAGGCTTGGGTTTCCCTATTGGTGTGCTGTGGCAGCTATTTTAAAATTATTGTCAGCAAAATATCACAGCTATTTGCATGTGATGTTAATGGTATTACTCGATGATTTCCACATTCCGTTGGGTTACTTGTTTTTAGAATGGACACAAATATGGTTCTTTTTCATTCAATTGACCACATTCTGTTGGGTTACTTGTTTTTAGAATGGACACAAATACGGGTTTCTGTCATTCAGTTGACCAGGTAGCTGTTTTTGGCATAGTTGAGTAAGCACCTCGAGTGCTTTTGTTGAAATTTTCCATTTGTATTCTGTCGGTTGCTGGAGGCTTTTTTTTTTTTTTTTCTCACCAGCTGCCTTCAGTGCAGCCTAGAGTTCTTCCTTGGTCATTGATTACCTTTTGAAATGGTTGAACATCGCCCATTTCTTTTTGGTACAGTGGTTCTGTGTATACCCTCCATCCTCTTTTGATGCTTTATGCATCATTCAGTATTTTGCCCATTGATTCCTGCAAGTGCTTTGCCATTTGCAATATCAACATTAAAAATGCCAGAAGTAGCTAGAAGCTACTAGGCAACAGACTTCAACATGAATAAAGGAAGTGCTTTTGAATACCCCAAGTTTTTTGAGATGGAATTGCCAGCCTTAGGAAGTAAGAGATCCCTGGTGCTAAAAATGACTGGCAGATACTTCTCAGATCTATTATTAAGAGTTTAAATTTTTTCATAGATGTTTTGATTAACTGACTTCTTCTTTTAAGATTCCATATTGATTCTTTCAAACAGATTATTGACTGAGTACTGACTGTCATGTACTGTCATAGACCTTGGGAATACAGCTCTAAACATGATCCATAGGACCCTGCTCTGGTTTACCGTGTTGAAGGAGACACAGATAGTAAACACTTCCCATTAAGAAACTAAAGCAGGGGCGATGTGAGAGTGGGTTTCTGGCAGGAGACTACAGTAGCATACATGGTCCCTGAATGAGCATGAGAAAGGGCTCATGGGAAGAAGATAGAAGGACAGAGCTTTATAGATGGAGGAATAACTTACATTAAAATCTCAGAGTTATGCAGAGTTTGGTGTGTTCAGAACACAGTACCTGAGGGAAGGAGTGTCAGGAGATGAGATTAGAGAACAGAGCAGGGTAGGTCACCTAGGGACTTTTGGCCTGTGAAGGATTTGGATTTAGTTCAAGCTCTGGTAGCACAGTGGTTACGAATCAGGCTGCGAACCGCAAGGTCAGCAGTTTGAAACTACCAGCCGCTCCGTGGGAGAAAGATGAGACTTTCTGCTCCCATAAAGATTTACAGCCTTGGAAACCCTGTTCAGGGTCGCTATGTGTCGGAATTGACTCTACACCACTTAACAACAACAACAAACTAAGTTTAGTTTAAACTAGACTAGAGGCAGTGGGAGTCCACTGGGAAATACTCAATCACATTTGTATTTTGAAAAAATGTCTTGGTCTGCTGCTCAGAGAATAAATTTTGGGGAAATAAGAGGAGCAGGAGGGGGATATGCAATTGAGAGACGTTGTTCAGTTGTACCAGACTGGCAGCAGCAGCAAAAATGGAGACAAGCGATGGCTGTATTTCAAGGTAGAGCTAGCAAGATATGCTGATGACTATGGGTTGGGGGAAAAGAGATAGTCAGAAATAGCTCCATCGTCTGTCCTTTGGGTAGCCGCTGGACATTGATGAGTCTGTACTGACAAGGGAAGGATTAAGGCTCAGGAGAAATGGGGAAAAATTTTGCTTAGGCCAAGTCCATTTTAATACACCTTTAGATCTCTAAAAGGAGCTAGTGAGCTTGGCTATGTACACTTGAATTTCAGGGCATCTTCATCAGAGTATAAATGTTATTTAAAATTGCAGGCCTAAAATAATCACAGAAAGGAATGGAGTTATGAGAAGAGACCTGAGACATTGAAACTGTAGACGTTGGGGGAGGCAGAAAGAGAACATTGGCACAAGAAGAAAAATCGAGCGATGTGGATTTCCAGAAATCAAAAATAGAGTGTTTCATGAATAATCAAGGCATCATCTGTGTCTAATGCTGCTGAGAGGCTGAGTAAGATAGAAGCAGAGAATCTGATTTGGCAAAGTGGAGCTCACTGATAACTTTGGAAACAGTATCCGTGTTTGAGTCTGAGATAGAGGAAGGGAGTAAGAAGGAACTGCTCTTTCCATCACAGAATCCTACTAATGTCGGCCTATGTTACTGACGTGAACTAAGGTGTAAGTCACATGGCTGGTTTGCACTGTGCTTAGAAAAACAGAGGTTTGCTTCAGTTGAGAGAGAAGGGAAGAATCGATATTTGGTCAGCAATTAGCAGACTCTATCATACAAGTAGACAGATGGTCAAAGGAAGGGTTTGTATTTTTTCACCTGTAGCATTTGTATTCTAGTGGTTATGCTCCAGAAGAAAGGGAGAAATTAGAAAGCAAACAGGGGAGGTGTAATCGCAAAAGAAATGGTTTTGAAAGTCAAAAGGCCTGTGGAATGGATCTCTGAGTAAGGAGTTTGTCACTGTTAAATACAAGGGCAGT